GTCCGCTGGGGCACGCTGTGCCGGATGACTCGGGTTGCGTGTTCTTGTTCTCGAGGCTACTCACCCGTTCGTGCCATGGTGGCGCTGGAGGTTTTGACCCATGACAGCGGGTTCAGCATGTTCTATCTTCTCGTCCCCTTTGCTTTGATCCTCTATCCTTTTCTCTGCTCCACCTGTCGCCTCCTTACCTCCCAGCCTTCCCATATCCAGACTTCCTCTACCTTGAGCTGCTGTTGCACATGGGCCGACAAGGGCAGGCAGGGTTGGGTGAAAAGGCGGTCGGAGTCACGCGTGGCTGAATTCGAGATGCCTGGTTGGTTCGAATGCTTCGGTCTCGGCATGGGTGGTGATGCTCCGAGTGAGTTCACGTCCCCCGTGCCCTTCTAACTTTTCCCACTGCCGCTCCTTCATGCTCCGTCCTTCTGTAATGAGTTTTGGTGCCACCACAGCTCCTGAGCCCTGGACGTTCTCGGGGGCCCCTGGAGATCCCTGCAGGCATCTGGAGGACCAGTAGGTATAGCCAAAGATGCCCAACATCCTGTATCCTCGTCCACTCGAGGGCTCAACATGCAGCATTGGTCGAGAGCTCGGTTGCCCACTCCCGTCTTCTCCACACACCTCCAGCGTCTTGCGCAAATCAATGTGGATGAGGTTTATGCCGTTGTCGGCGTCTGGGGGTTGTTTTCACTGCCGGAGCTGTCAAACTATGATACGGGACAGAATTTCGGTCCCAGGGAAGGTGTCGAGAGGTCCAGGTGCCACGCATTGAACAAAAACACCACGTCGACGTCGTAGGTCTGGGTTGCTCTCAATCCTTCTCGATTGTCCTCCCTTCCTCTCTAATCGTTTGCCGGTCCCTTTCTGTTTCCCTTCCCTCCCGCTATCCCATTCTCTTTTCCGTCTCCCCTACTTCCTCGCTTCATCTCTTCCAGGCCCTTCAATTGCAGTCTATTGTTTGAGCTGCTTGTGACGGTTTAGTTGCTCGCAGAGCAGGTTGCCGTGAGGCTTCCGTGGGGACTGTGCTGTGGTGATTGCGGTGAGGGTGGCGGTGGATGGGGCGAGAAATTTGATTGGCAGGAAGCCGCTTGCGTTTTCCCGTGGAGGTGCTGCACGCTGCTGCTGGTTCGTGGCCAGGAGCCTGTTCAACCGAGGAGGTGCTGCAATTGCAGTTGGCGGGGGGCAGATGAAGCGGGATGTGATGAACTGTTGCAACCACTTCCTGTGTGTTCCATCCGTCGCCCCTACACTATGAGCTGCCTGTGCAGCATATGCATGTGTCCGTTCGCTCGCTTTCTGTCTCTGCGATGCTCACGCTGCCTGGTCGAATGCTCCAGCAGCCTAGCGGCACGCGTGTGGAGAGAGTGCCCTCTGGACCTCCTCTCCCGTGGTTCTGCGCCGGCCCGTGCCCTCCCGATTTTTGGTCTGCGCGTGGCTGCGCAGAGCGAGGCCTGCGGATGCAGAGCGCACCAAGGGAAGCTTTTTTGATCCGCGGGTCGACAGCGCACCTCTTCCGGTCGAAGCTGAGCGGGCCGCGCACAGCTTTAATGAGCAAAGGGGGGGGGGGGCCGAAGGAGGGGCCTCACGTCAAGGCCGGGAGGGGGCAAAGCCCCGGAATCGGGCGGTGCCGAAGACGATGTGCTTGCAACGGAGCGCCTTGTGCAGGAGCCCGGCGGCGAAGTACTGGAAGAAGCAACGTGCTGTGGCACCAAGGGGAACACGAGACGCACACGCGCATCCGACACGGGTGCTTCCTGCGAGCGGCAGCTCGGTGCCGAGTCCAGACAGTGCCTCTGGCGTACGGAGCGCCGGCCCGCGCTGCCCGCCGGAGGCAGCGATCCACGGTGAATAAGAAACCATCTTGCCTGCAGGTGCTCCGCAGATGTTCCTTTTCCCCCGACGGCCCCTGGGACCCACATAACCACTGGAGCACCTCAGGAAGCCCAGCGATCGCGCTTCGGATGTGCGCTCTCTTGCGTTACGATTTCCTGCTGCCGGTGCTCCCGTCACTTTTCAGGGGCACGAAGAGGATCGCGCTTCGCGCGTCGCGGCCTGGGCCAGAGCAGCTGCCCTCTCCCAGGGGGGAACCGACGCGAGGGCGCGAGGGCGCGAAGCCAACGGCCCATCTGGCATCGCGGACTTTTTTGTCCCCGTTTTTTCCAGGGGGGACAACAAAAAACAGTTATACACCAGGGTCCCGTATACCACAGGATCCGCTTCCCTGGGCGAGGTCCAGTGCGGGGCAGGAGAAACCGTCGGTGTATAGAGTTCGTCTCCTCACCTCTGCGCCGCTGACTTCAAAGAAAGTGTATGTGTGTGTGTGTGTGTGTGCGTGTGTGTGTGTGTGTGTGTGTGGCCCGGCTTCCTCTCTTCCTATCGCGCCGGGGCTTCTCCTCCTGTTCCTCCGTGCATGGCGCCTTTAATTTGCATACAGCGTGTTCCCTTTTGTCCATCCGCCAGAGCAATCACCCTCTGCCCAGCCGTCGACTTAACCAACAAAAAACGTGTGTGTGTGCGTGTGTGTGTGTGTGTGTGTGTGTGTGCGTGTGTGTGTGTGTGTGTGTGTTGTGTGTGTGTGTGTGCGTGTGTGTGTGTGTGTGTGTGTGTGTGTGTGTGTGGTGTGTGCTTGTGTGTGTGTGTGTGTGTGTGTGTGTGTGTGTGTGTGTGTGTGTGTGTGTGTGTGCGTGTGCGTGTGTGTGTGGGTGTGTGTGTGTGTGTGTGTGGTGTGTGTGTGTGTGTGTGTGTGTGTGTGTGTGTGTGTGGTGTGCGTGTGCGTGTGTGTGTGTGTGTGTGCGTGTGTGTGTGTGTGTGTGTGTGTGTGTGCGTGTGTGTGTGTGTGTGTGTGTGTGCGTGCGCGCACGCGCACGTGCGTGCTCGTGCCCCAGTTTTTGGGCGGAATGTGCAGCTGGCCTGCGTGCGCCCTCGGCTTCTTTCGGGCGCGTCTGCGGGTCTGTGCCGGCGGGAACAGTTTTTGGGAGAGGAGCAGGACGAGAGAAACGGTGACGAATTTTGGAGGGGGAGGGGTTCGCCAAGATTCTTTCCCCAGCGGCCCTCGATACCATAACGGTGATGAATCTGGATCGGGCCGAACGAGAGGGGGGGATAGGGAAAGGGGGGGGTACGAAATCTGCTGCGTGCAGCTGGTTTCGGTCCCGCCGCCGGGCCCACTCCTCGATGCGTGGGCGCCTCCCGGCGCCGGGAGGCGCCGGGGAAATCAGCTACGTGAGCTGATTCTCAAAACCCTCCTTTGCTATACCCCCTTTTGGCCCAGCCCGAATGGGGGAGGGGGGAACCAAGATTGTTTCCCCAGCGGCCCTCGATACCATAACATGCTCGCTGATGCCTCACCCGCAACAGTACTCGACAGGCTGTAGGTGTGCGAATGCGCAGCCATCCTTCGCCAGCGAAGGGGGGAGAAGCAGGAGTAGCTGGAGGAAGAGGAGGAGTTGGTGCAAATGGATCGTACGGGCGATGATGATGAGGAGGGGGCTGAGGACGAGGATGATGAAAGTGATGGTGATGGTGATTCTGATGGTGATAGTGATGGTGATGGTGATGGTGATGATGATGATGAATATGATGATGATGTTGATGATGATGATGATGATGATGTTGATGATGATGTTGATGATGATGGTAATCACGGTGGTGGTGGTGTTGATGATGCTGGTGATGATGCAGAGGAGGCAGCGGAATCATCTGGCGAACGGAAGTGAGGTCAAAGAAGGGTTGCGCCGACGCGTTTCGGTAGATGGCAAGCCGTGGGCCCTGCTGCGCCGGACCCCGACCATCGAAACGCCAACGACATGTGCGAGAGACCTCGTCGGTGCCAGGGACAAGCATCGGTCTCTAGCAAGACCATCGACGCTGACGGAATCGAGTGCAGGATGATGGCCCGCAGATGTCGAGGACTCAGGTGGTATGTCCAGCTTCAGCAGCACTGTGCATAGCTGTCGCTGTCGTGGCTGGTGAACTGGTTGCAGCTCCTGCGTGCCTCGCCAGCACTCGGTGCTAGCCGCGGCGGCATGTCTTGGCTCGAGTGGATTAGGGATGAGTCAGCCTCTCGCGTGACTGCGCCATGTTGAGAGGGCGCCGCGTTGGAGGCGTCGAGGGTGTTCATCGGCGGGGGCCCTATCAGCTCTGGTCAGTCTGACTGCGTGATCACTGTGTTCGATGACTTGCGTGGGCGTTTCGACCTGGCTGGCACCTGTGAAGGTGACTTTTGGCAGTGTTCGGAGCGTCGTCTGGCAGATCGATCCTGCATCGGGCGACGGGGGTCAGCAGTTGGGCAAGTTTCGTCGGGCAGTCATGTGGCCGCTTCCCTCCCCTCTCCTCGTCCCCTTCCTTCTCCTTCTTCTTGTCATTCTCTTCCCTCCACCTTCGCCTCCACGCCCACCCACCTCGACCTCCCTGCGTCGTCGTCGTCATCGCTTTCTTCCTCCTATCCCCTCCAGTGCACATGAGCGTGAAGGACTCTGGGTCGCAGGGGTTCAGTGGGGCGTCGCCTGGCGGTGTACAGCCTGGCCTGGCTTTCCGAAGTCTGCTTATCGCGCGAGGGCGTAGCCTTGCCTGCGAATTGTCAGTGGGTCGAGATCCCTAGCACTCTGGCGGGCCCGCCAGCCATAGCTTCCCAAATCCGCCAGGCGAGGATCTGATTTCTCACAGGGCCCTCTCGTACACTTTTGCCGAGCTTTCCTGTTGCCGTCTTCTCGCCAAGTGGATTGGGTGTACTCGGCCGAAGTTCTCGCTGCTCGCGCGATGCTTGGACAATGGCCGTGACGACGGCGGCGATGTCGGGCGGCGGCAATGAGCGACGATGACGATGATATCGTCTACGACGACAATGAAGCGTGATGGCACGTAACACGAAGTACGCATGACGTCGCGCTAGCCGCTCGGACTTGCAATAACTGAGCGAATGATTCGTAATGCGGGACTGCGACGACGTCTTTCGAGAGCCTCCGACGGGATTGGGGATGTGTGCTGAGTCTGCGGGCGTTGTCATGTTCGATTTCGACAGCTTGGATGAGGCGGAGATTAGATCTCAGGCTCCCGTACCCCTCTCTCTCTCTCTCTCTGGCCAGCGCTTCACAGTCAAGATCGTTCAGCAACATGCCTTCCATTCCCAGATGCAATATGTCCTCCGTGATCGTGATCGTATTCTGGCGTACGCATTTTCGCGGGATATATCCGACCACTTTTTGGTGCTTCATTGACAGGCGTGCGCTTACTGTCTCGTGTGTGTAAGCAAGTCCATGCATGACAGGAGCGTGACACTATTCCAAGCACCTACTAGACTTCACACGCCCACATATACGCATGCATGCATATGACATTTGTATAGGTTTGCCAGTGTGGAACCCAACCAGTAGCTTTCTACACTGTATGCGGTGCAATCCAGGTCGTGCAATCAATGTGGTGCAGTCTAGGTGGTGCAATCCAGGCGGTGCAGTCCGTGTGGTTGAAATCACTGCGAAACAACGCTACACGAGGCAACTCAATGCAAGTCACCGCAAACCAACGCAATGCGATTGCACGGCACTGCAACGCAATGCAATCAAATGTAGCTCAAGGCAGCTCAATGCAAAACAATGCAACCCAGAGCACAGCAGTGCCATGCACTGCAAAACAATGTATCGCAACGCGAAGTAATGCAAATCAATGTGTGTCAATGTGCAATATCGCAAACCAAAGAACTACAAGCAATGTAACACAACGCAACGTAAGGCAACGAAAGGCAACGCAATGCAACTCCATGCCGTTCAATCTAACGTGCCACAAAATAATGCAAATGAGCGCAAAACAATGCAGCGCAATGCAACGCAATGAAAGCCAATGCAAGCCAATGCAAAGCAACGCAACACAACGCAACGCAGCGCGAAGCCATGCAACGCGGGCGGCGACCAAGCGGCGGGCGGCGACGAGGCGGCGAAGGCGGCCACATGGTTGCCAGAGCGCCCCGCAAGGCCTATGCGACGACGGGCGGCGACCAGGCGGCGACAGCGTTACATGGCGGCCAGAGCGTCCCGCAGGCCCAGGCGACGGGCGGCGACGGGCGGCGACGAGGCGGCGACGGCGGCACATGGCGGCCAGACCGGCCCGCAGGCCCAGGCGACTGGCGGCGACAGGCGGCGACGAGGCGGCTTCGGCGGCGACATGACGGCCAGAGCGGCGCGTAGGCACAGTTTTTGGAAGAGAAGTAAGAACCCGTAAGCACAAGCACTGTTGGTGGACTACATATACAATGTACGCATTTACGTTGCCAATGAGCCCTGGCGGGTTTGCAAGGACCCCCGCCTCAAGACGTCCCAGAACGCCTTTGGATGGCCCCAAGTTGGCCGCAGGGTGATAGTAATATGCCCCCGAGAGGCTTCAATCTGGCCCTGGACGAGGCCCCGGCGTGTTTAAACAGTCAAGAGCACGTGTGCATTCATACGTTTCTGTAAATTTCCACTGTCCAGCTGAAGCTGATTTGACAAACGGGCCCAGTGGCTCCCAAGAGGGTCCAATAGCTCCCCAGAAGCCCCAAGAGGGCCCGACACGGCCCCAAGATGGCCTTCAAGAGAGCCCAATAGGGCTCCAAGACGGCCCAAGACCGCCCGAACACGGCATCAGACTTCCCCCCCGATGGTCCCAATACACTCCCAAACGGCCCCGCAAGGCCCCCACAGGATCCAGAGACGACCCCGCAAATCTTCAGAGGGTCACCAACTAGCCCAATATTGCCCCCCCCCCCCCCCCCCCCCCCCCCCCCCCCCCCCCTACCCCCCTGTTGCGGGCCATCAGCATCGAGCCGAGAAGATCCTAAAGAGGGCCCCGCGACAGGGCAAGTCAGTGATGCCTCGACCTCTCGAGGTAAAGGCGCTGCCAAAATACTCGCATGATCGTCTTGCACCTGTGCTGTTTCAACACCAGTGTGACAGAGTTTGGTTGACATTCGATTTTCAATATCCGCAGATCCATCTGTTTGGTTCTCTGACCGCCCGTTTGCTTTCGCTTTCCTTCCTATTTGTTGATACGTGTCTCTGTGGACATATCGCTGTGCTTCGCTTGATTCGGGTCCGTGGAATTCGTTCATGCACGCGATCGCACGAGTTGGTGTGTATCGTATATATATATATGGCACATGGCTGAGAAAGAGAGAGAGAGAGAGAGAGAGAGAGAGAGAGAGAGAAAGAGAGAGACAGCGAGAGAGAGAGAGAGAGAGAGAGAAAACGAGAAAGAGAGAGAGAGAGAGAGAAACATAGGGGGCGAGGTAGAGGTCTATACCTACAGTTCTGCTGCACGTCATGTTATGGGTTTGCGCCTCGATCTAGCATGTTGGTATACACACGCCCCCAGTGTCTTCGTTTTACCGATGTCGCAGACAAAACCATGTGTCGCCACCCAGCAACGCCACGTATTTCAGGAAGCTCGGGGGTTCGCGGCCCACCAGCAGGGAAGTCGAAGGCGCATGCGGGCATTCGGTGCTGATCGCGATTGCTTAGCCGCGCCTGCGCTTCTCGCGTAATCGTGGGAAGTGCCACCATCTTTGTCACGAGCGGTTCCAGGGTGACGCACCATCCTCTTATCTGCACTACCGCCAGCGGCGTGATTCTGGCAGTGAGTGAGACAAGCACTGGCCATAGCCGAGTAGACCTCAGCCCCGCCTTCCGCTCGGGTCTGCACAGACAGCCCCTCCACGCCACGTCGACACCTTCCCTGACGATCGAGACCTGCATGGTCCCGCGGTCAGACTTAGGGAGGATGTGTTGCGACGCGGGGTGGGGAGGGGTGCCCCCCTCGCAGAAGAGGAGCACAGGAGGTCTCGACGAGCTGCCTCCCTGAACCGCCCCCCCCCCTGGAGGGCTGGCAACACACCGACTGGCGCTGCCATGCAGGTCCGCAGCGGTTGTGCTGGCTGTAGTGGGGGCCGCTGGGTGGGACTGGTGGGTGGGGGAGCTTTGGAAACGACGCAATACGCCGCTCTACCTCGCTCTGTGATTCAGGAATCCTTCGGACATCTGGGGAACGAAATCCCACGCATGTTCGGTTCCATGCGTCTGGGGTCTTCATCAGTGCACCGCAAGGAGCAGACCTAAGGAACAACAAGGGACCATACACACACACTTCTCGTTCGACGCGCTGGAGATCAGCAGTAAACGCAGACGGGGGTCACCCTCAACGACGGGGGTCACCCTCAACGCGAATTACCATATGCGTAGACGCACACACACGTGCACATGCCTACCAACTGCGGCACATCGAGGGTGGCGGATATTTCAAAGAGGCCAGGGTCATCTCCAGTTTCCTTTGCTCATTCCATCGTTGCCTCTTCCCTCATGCGTGGCATCGAGTGGAGCAGCATGGCAGTTTGTACGTCGTCGCTGTTAAGGCGGGATGGGCGCGGGAAGCTGCCTCATAATTCAATATTTCGGCGCGATGTTGTTTGATGTGATGCCAGGGCCATTCCCCTCAGCTTCCCTTTCCCTCTACAATTAGGTGGTGCTGGATTAGAAGCAACACGCCGCATCGGCCAGGAGTATCCTCTTTATGTAGCCATCTGCAGCGCTCCACATTGGGCGTCTCAGAGCACGGGGCTGTGAGTTCCATGATGCGCCGAAGTGTACTCGGCCTTCATCTTACATCCTCCCGCCCCCCATTGTCTCCTCCCTGCCTGCCTTTGCCCGTTCTCGATATCTGCTTTTTGTTCGTCTGCCCCCCTGCAGTTTATGGTTGTGCACATCCAATTTTCCTGTCCTGGCATCTCTCTAGATATTCAGTTTTGTTGTTCTCTCTCTCTCTCTCTCTCCCTTTTTTTCCCTTCCCTCTTCTCTGCCTTGCCTATATTTTGCCCTCTTCTTTTTCTTCGCCAAGTAGGTTTGCCCAATGGTTCTTACTTGGTTAAAGGTTGATGCTTCGTATTCTTACGTTGCCCGTTGCCCAGAGGTTCGTCAGGTTCCTCGATTTCTCCCCCCGGTATCTTCTATTGTTGCGTTGCCCGTTCCTCGGAGGTTCCTCGGGTTCCCTGGGTTCCTCGGGTTCCCCGGGTTCCCCGGGTTCCCTGGGTTCCTCGGGTTCCTGGGGTTCCCTGGGTTTCTTGGGTTCCCGCCCAAGCAATGCCAAGCAATGCCAAGCAATGCCAAGCAATGCCAAGCAATGACAAGCAATGCCAAGCACTGCGCTCATGCAATAGGAAGCTTTCCCCTAATTGGGGTCGTGCCGGGTTCATTTTTCCTGTCTCCTTCTCTCTTCTCTTTCTTTCTCCCTCTTTGATACATGAATGCGACCCCAAGTAGGGTAAAGCCTATTGCGTGGGTGCATCGCTGGGCGCATCGCTGGGCGCATCGCTTGGCATTGCTTGGCATGGGTTGGCATGGGTTGGCATGGGTTGGCATTACTTGGCATTGCTTGGCATAGGTTGGCATTGCTTGGCAATGCTTGGCATTGCTTGGTATTGCTTGGCACTGCTCGGCATTGCTTGGCATTGCTAGGGGCAACCGGGGGCGGTGAACCTGAAGCACCCAGGGAACCTCAGGCATCTCTGAGCAACGGGCAAAGTAACATTCCGAGGCACCACCCTTTTACCAAGTAGGAACCCTTCTGGCAAGCTTGAATTGGGAACGCACACATACATACATACATACCTATATATACACATATATATACATACATACACACATACACACGAAGAAGCAGACATGCATACACACAAACCTAGATACATGCACACATACACACATTCATACATGCATACGTCCACACCTATTTACAGACATACATGCACACACAGAGTGCATACATACAATCAAACACACATGTATTCATGCATCCGTGCATACATACACGCATACGCACACACATACATTCACACGTGCATGCATACATACATACATACACACATGCACACATACACATATACGTATACATGCACACATACATACATGCACATTTGCACACATACACGCATACATACACACATATACACATACACACATACACATACATACACACATCCAGACACACACACACCATCAATACATCCTTACATACATACGTACATACAATCATACACCCTTACATACACACATACATACTCACATAGACACATTCATTCATACATATACACATATACACATGCGCACACATTTGAGACATACATATAGATGTACACATACATACATGCATACATGCGTGCATGCACACATGTATACATGCATGCATGCACACATGCATACATGCATACACATATTCATTTACATATATCTATATAGGTAGTCAGTATTTAGTTGTTTTATATGTAGATGCGCCACAGACTAGAACATCTCTTTTCTCTCTCCTCGCTTTCCTCGCTCTCTTCTCTGTCCTTCCTCGCTCTCCTCGCTCTCCTCGCTCTCCTCGCTCTCCTCGCTCTTCGCGCTCTTCTCGCTTTCTTTCTTTTCTCGTCGCTCCTCCCTCTCCTCTCTCTCTTCGCCCCCCCCCCCCTGTTGCAAGCGGCGCTGGGCGCCGCCAGCCTCGCCGCCCCAAGACGCCCCGCCTCCTCGAGCGCGCGCCCTCGCTTCTTTCACTCCCTGCCTCTCCCCCCCCACTACAGACTGGGCACCACAAGGGTCAAAGCACACGATGACACTCGAAGAAGAAACAATGCCACAAACGGCAACTTTTCGCGTTTTTTCTTCTAGGCACGTGGCCACCCTTTTTGCCACGTTCAGTTGGGGACTTGGGAACCCCACAGTCGGCTTTACCCCTCACCTGTCTGAAAAGTGGCTGCACAAGCAGGGCCAGCCGCAGCCAGACCCCACCCAACCAACCATTCTCTACACAGCGCCGCCGGTGCACATGCGCAACACGTGTGCACCCCCACAACTCCACCTTCTTCTGCCCGCTCCTCTCGCCCCTCGGGCCTTCGCCCCCCCCTTCCGCCCATGCGGAGGCGCCCGTCCGCGCGCAAGCAGCGGCAAGGCCAGTCCCGGTCCGGGTCTGCCGCCTGGAGGGCGGTGTGGCCGTCAGCATTTTCCAGGACGCGGCGGTCCCTCCTTGCCCCGCTCGGGCAGCTCCTGGTCTGCCGACTGGGGCTCGACCAGGGAGGAGGGGGCGGGACGGGAGGGAGAGGAGGAGGGGGAGGAGGACAAGCTAGGTGCGATCGCGCCATATCTGACGTCCTACCCCTCCCTCCCATCCCTTACCATGGCGAAGATCTCCATTCTATTCGCACAGTCGGATGTCGTAGCATGGCATAGCATTACATGGCATAGCATGGTGTTGAAGATCAACGCGTAACATAGCATGGCGTGGCGACGCCCCAAAGTGGGGGGGGGGGGCTTCTGCGGCCCAATAAATCAACGAATCGACACCGAATGTGTAAACGCTTCCGATGGTTTTTTCGGGGGGTATTATTTAGATTTTGGGGCCTATTTGGAAGGACCGAAAACCATGCCGTGGCATGGTGCTGGAAACAATGACGCCAGTGCTGCAGCGGGAGCACGCTTTGGAACGAGCGGAAGCGCGGGAATGAGGCCATTGCTGCAGCGGGAGCACGATTCGGAACGAGCGGTAGCCCGAAAATGAGGCCAGCGCTTCAGCGAGAGCAGCATTGTGAACAAAACCCGAGCGAAAACCCGTTTCCCGGGAATCCTGTGTGTAAAACCAGTACGCTGAGGGGGGCGGATATTTCTTGGACGTTACCAGGGGAGAGAGGAGAGTAGTATTCATATTGTGTAATTGTGGAGTGGCGGGAAGGAAGGGAGGATGAGGAGGTGGAGGAGGAGGGGGAGGAGGAGGAGGAGGAGGAGGAGGAGGAGGAGGAGGAAAGAGGAGGAGAAGGGAGGAGGAGGCGGAGGGGGGGAGGGAGGGAGGGAGGGAGGGAGGGAGGGGGAGGGAGGGCCGCCGCCGCCGCCGTCGCCGCCGCCGTCGTCGTCGTTGTCGCCGTCGCCGCCGCCGCCGTCGTCGCTGTCGTCGTCGTCGTCGTCGTCGTCGTCGTCGTCGTCGTCGTCGTCGTCGTCGTCGTCGTCGTCGTCGTCGTCGTCGTCGTCGTCTTCGTCGTCGTCGTCGTCGTCGTCGTCTTTCGCTGCGGGCTCTGGTGCCTGTACCAGGCGCACCTCTCCCCTCCCCAGCGGTGCCCTTCCGCCAGGGAGGGCGCACAACTAACGCAGTGAGTGGTATGAGGGGGGGGCGGGCCAGGTGGTGGCGCAGTCGTTTCCTCGAAATGCCGTCTGTATGGCACACCAGGAACTGCGAGAAGTTCCAAGCTTGTGCCGAGGGGGGGGGGGGGGCAGGGGGGGGCTCCCCTTCAGAGGAGGCTGGGGGGCCGACAGGACGGGGACGACACGAGGGGGAGCAGCAGGCGGCCCAGGCGGGAAGGGGGGGAGGAGGAGAAGGAGGCGGAAGGAGCTGCAGGCACGACGCAGGACGGCGGGAGGAGGGGGAGAAAGTGACACCCCCGAGGCCAGAAGAGGCCGGCAGAGTCTCGGCCTCCACCTCCTGCCCCCTCCCCTCCCGCATCTTCCTCCCCCTCCTCGCCCCCCTCCGCCGAGGAAGGGGACCCGCAGAAGCTCCCGGTCAAGTCCCTGGAGATCGACTACGTGGGCCGCCTCCCGAGCGGCTGCAGCTTCGACTGCTCTGCAGGCGGCGTCGTGGGCCTTGAAGGGTGGCGCTCTCGGGCCAACAGCTCAGGCCTGTGCGTGGACCTCGAACAGTTGGTTCATGTGCTTGGGTGCTTGGGGGTCTGTTGAGGGCCTCGTAGGCGCCTCTTGGTGACCGCTTGTGGCCGCTCGGGGCCATCTACAGCTCAGGCCTGCACGTGGACCTCAGACAGTTGATCAGCTTCCTGGTCTGTGTGTAGCCTTTTGTGTGGAGCCCTCTGAGCGTGGATGCCGTAATGCTCTCAAGGTGCCTGCTCGCAAGCGTCCGAAAGATACGTGTCTGCCTCGATGCAAGGGATCGAACATTCCCTGCGGCGGATCTGGGCCATTTGCGAGCAGTTACTTTTGCGAGTCTTGGAGCGCGCTTGTCCATTGCTGGGCGTGGAGTGCCCGCGGGGGTGGGCGAGCTGTCCGCTTGCCGACCCCGCCCGCGTCACCTCTGCTGCTTCGGGCCTGGTGCTTTTTCGCGATCGTGTGGGCGGGGGCCCCCGTCGCTCGGTTGCCTGCAGGTTTTGGTCATTGAGTGGGGCCTTCCTCCTCCTCCTCCTCCTCCTCCTCCTCCTCCTCCTCCTCCTCCTCCTTTTCCTTCTCCTCCTCCTTAGCCATTGTGGCTCAAGGCCTCGCTGCCGCTACGGCACCGTGCACCTCCTCCTCCTCCTCCTCCTCCTCCTTCCTGGCCCCTCCCTCCTCATCCTCCCTCAACCTTCCCTCCCCGTCCTCCTCCATCCCTCCTCCTGCTCCTCCTCCTCCTCTCCTTCTCGTTCTCCTCCTCCTCCTCCTCCTCCTCCTCCTCGTTCTCCTCCTCCTGCTCCTCTTCCTCCTCCTCCCTCTCCTCCTGGCCTGTGTCGGACCTGCGCCCGGCTTCGCCTCTTCGCTCCTGCCCGCTCGGCACGCTCGCCCTCGAGGCGGAGCTTCTCGGTGGGCGGCCCGGAGGCCGCCCTTGCGTGCCAGGAGCGCCCCGGGGCTACAGCCCGGGGCGTCAGTGTGGGTGCCGCCCAGCTGGACAGCGAGCCAGGCGGCGAGGAGCGCGGGGCCGTCCTGCCACGAACGGGTGCGCCCTCGTCCTCTCCCTCCTCTTGCGTCCCCCCCTTCTCGTCTTCCTCTCCTCCTCACTTTCGCGCGCACGCGCTTGTTGAACTTGCATCGTCTGTCCATCTGTGAGACTGTAGGCTTAGCACAAGCTGGGGCACTCATATGGGCATCCATGATGGCTCCATGGCCAGTAGGTCGCTGCACCCCTGTGTGTAAAAACAATGTGCGGAGGGAGGGCTCGATACTCTAAACGCTCGCTCGGGGGAGAGGAAAGTCGTATTCATGTGGTGTAACTGTGGAGGAGGAAGACAAGAAACGGGGAGAGATAGGGACCTGTTTTTTGTGGTGGGTGGATTGGGGAACATATTCGGACCCTGGGCAAGAACAGCGCTTCATCGGCAATCGCCAAGAGATCGGTCAGCTTGGGGTCTAGGTATGTTTTATCATCTTTGTGCCGGGCTGCATTTCGTGGGCAAGAGTCCAATCACCTCATGGTATATCTCCATGTTTATCCCAACCATCTTGTGGTGTTGGTCCTCGTTTTGAAAGACAGCGCCCCGCGTTCCTCACTCTTTCATTCTTCTTCTTCTTCTTCTCCTCCTTCTCCTCCTCCTCCTCCTCCTCCTCCTCCTCCTCCTCCTCCTCCTCCTCCTCCTCCTCCTCCTCCTCCTCCCCCCCCTCGTCATTTTTGCTCTCCGCATCAGTCTACCAGTTCGGGACACCTCTCAAACGTTTCGTGGCCCCAGTGGCAAAGTTCGCATGCCCCCCCCCACCGAAGGCCCCAGTGGCAAAATTCGCGTGCGTTCCCCCACCCAGTGCAGCGTTTCGCAAGGGGCTACACCGAGGGTTCTGGTTGCAAAGTTCGCATGCGTCACCCCCACCCAGCACACCGTATCGTGACCCCATAGGGTTCTCCACCGAAGGTCCCAAAGGGAAAGTTCGCATGCGCCCCCCCAGCCCAGTACAGCGCTTCGTGGCCCCATGAGAGCTGAACCGAAAGCTCCAGTGGCACAGTTCGCATGTGTCCCCCCACGCAGTGCAGCGCTCTGTGGCCCCATAGGGAGCTCCACCAAAGGCCTCAGTGGCAAAGTTCGCATGCGTCCCACCCACCCAGTACAGCGCTTCGTGCCCCCGTAGGGAGCTCCATCGAAGGCCCCAGTGGCCGCGTCCGCATGCGTCCGAGCCACCCGTCCTTGCGTTTCGTGCCCCCATAGGGGGCTCGACCTAAGGCTCCAGTGGTTAAATTCGCGTGCGCCTTCCCTACCCAGTGCAGCGTTTCGTGTCCCCAGAGGGAACTTCACCAAGGGTCCTAGTGGCAAAGTTCGCATGCGCCCCCTCCGCTCAGTACACCTTTTCGTGGTCTCGTAGGGAGCCCCACCGCAATGCCCCTGTGGCTGCGGCCGCATGCGCCTCCCCCACCGAGTACAGCGTTTCGTGGATCCATAGGGAGCTCCCCCGAAAGGTCGCATGCGTCCCCCCCCGCCCAGTACAGCGTTTCTTGACCCCATAGGGAGCTCGACCGAAGACCCCAGTGGCCGCGGTCGCACTCGCCCCGCCTCCCATTACGGCAGACCCCTCACGTGGTTCGTGGCCCCATCAGGAGTTCCATCGAACGCGGTACCCACAACGCTGTATTCACAACTGCATATGGTTGGGTCCTTCGCCTGCGTAATTTTGCTCGACGCGGCTGTCATTCGACTTCCCCAGGCAAGGGCCAGCCGCCAATGAAGGTTGAGCTGGGCACGGGCGGTGCCATCCCAGGCATGGAGCTCGGCCTCAGAGCCCTGCGCTCAGCATGGCACCCGGCGATCGCGTCGTCACCGCTCTGCGATCATCGTCAGAATAAATCGCCGACTCAGTGCTCGGCTCTGCTCGAGTGCCGCCCTAGCTTGGTCGAGAGATTCGGCCTGCGACCTGCGAGCGCGCGAGCAGAGGTTAGCGCTTGGTGATCGCCGTGAGCGTAATCGCCGATGTAGTGCTCGACTTTCGCCCCAACGCCTACTACCGGGCCCCGCTTGGTCGCGTGATTTGGCCTACGACCAGCGAGCGCGGGATCAGAGCTTCGTGTGCACAGTGATCGCCGTCAGCGTGATTGGTAACCGATAGTTCGGATTTTGCCTGGAAGCCTGGCGGGCCTGGCTTGATCAAGTGCTGGTCCTGAAGTCAGCTCAAGTCACCCGCTGTGATCGGGCCTCCGCCTTTCTCTTCGTCCTTTTCCCCTCCCTCATCGTCCTTGTCCTCGCCCTCCTCCTCTTCCTCCCTCTGAACACCAAGGCTCTATCGCTTGGCGCCGTGGCGGAGATCAGAATCCCGGGGAACCTAGGACCCCCTGCGCCTTCCCTCGTTGGCGACCTCTGCCGCTGCTGCTTCCTCTCGCTACATCAGAGCAAGTCGAATCCTCAGTAAGGATATGCTTATTGTTGGCCCCCCTTCGGTGCGCCTCCGTCTTTCTCCATCCCAGCGTGCCCCTCGACGCTGACCTGGATTGGGCGGCGCTGGCATGGTTCCTGCCTCAGGTCTGCCCGAGGCCTCGGCAGTGGGCATTCTGCCTCTGGCGACCTGGTGGCTGGTTCGCCCACCCTCTGGCTACTTCTTCGTCTGCATGCCTCGGGGCTAAAGAGACGGGGGTCAGTGCAAACGGGGGTCAGCCAGAGCGCTGTAGCTTGCAGGATCCTGCGGAGCCAGGGGTGCGCTGACTCGGGCTTGGGTTTAGGACCCACGACAGGATCCTGCAGGCTCCTGCAGGCTCCTGCAGGGCGATCCTCCGTCTCGTGCCGCCGTGCTTGTCAGGCCGTGGTGAGGTCCAGATGTCTCTCGTTCCTCCTCGCTCCTTCTGGAGCACAAAATAAAAGAGAGGATCCTGCAAGGCCTGACCGAACCGGGCTTGCGTGGACCCGGGCCAGTGGATCCCCGACCTGCTCGCCCGGCTCCCGCACTCCACGCCGCATCCCCTTGCGCCCGAGGCCGCCCGCGCACCTCGTTCCCCGTCGACTCTCGACGGGCGGGAGCCTTCGCCCTCCCTCCTCCTCCTCCTCCTCCTCCTCCTCCTCCTCCTCCTCCTCCTCCTCCTCCTCCTCCTCCTCCTCCTCCCCCTCCTCCTTCCCCTCCTCCTCCTCCTCCTCCTCCTCCTCCTCCTCCTCCTCCTCCTCCTCGAAGCGCGTGCGAAACGGCCGCCCGTCCACTCTTCCGATCGCGCCTCGCGCCCCGCCTCTGGGCGCGCCCCGCTGGTGCCGACCCTGGCTCCTGCGGTCGCGGGTGCTGCCGATGGAGAGGTGTCCCTCGACGCTTTGTGCGTCTGCTTGCCCGCGGGCTCTCGCTGGGGCCCCGACTGCAGCAACGCCGGCCAGTCCAATTCAGTACCTTTCGCTCTCACCAGCGTGCGAGCCGTGCGACAAATATGCACCCTTGACCCTGAACTGATGCCCTCTGAGTCGATGACCGCACCCCCTTTAGAGGACTCTTGTCTTTCGTACCAGCTCCTGGTTAACCCCCGCCAGGGTAGGACAAGCGGGTCGGGCGGGCGGACCCTCACGGACGCGTCGGCCAGGCAGGGCATCCAAGCGGGCGGGAGGCCAGGAAGTCACAGGCGATCGCGCGTTCCTCAAGCAGATGGTCAGGAGGTCCCCAGCGAGAGCGCACTTCCTGAGTAAATGTAGAGTACTTCCCTGCAAAGCGAATGCTCCAATGGGGCCTGCGCTGCTTCGAGAGAGAGAGCCCGTGCGTGAGACACAGAACGCGCGAAGCCGCTGCCGCCGGAGTGCCCGCGTGCCCCGTGCCGTGCCCGCGGGCCGTGCCGCGCCCTGCGGCGCCCTGGGTGGAGAGTGCAAACAGGTGCCGTGCCGTGCCGTGCCACTCCTGTGGGAGCCGCCTCGAAACAGTCTTTGTTCGCCGAGCGCGTTCCCCTCCTCGCAGAGTGCCTGCTCGCAAACGTCAGAAAGCCCTACGTCGGCCTTCGTGTAACATGTCGTAAAAATCCTCCGTGGCGGACCCAGGCCATTTGCGAGTAGCTGCTTTGCGAGTGGTGGAACGCGCTTGTCTATTTGTGATTCTTCTTCAACGCTCGTGAGTTTCCCTTGTGCTGGCCTCTCACCAGTTCGAAAACTCATGTCCGTTCTGCACGAGACGTCCGTTGCCAACGCGCTCGACTAGATCCTGAGCGCGCACGAAGCGAACGCGTGGTTCTAGTTCTGGCTCTGTCTGTCAACGCTGTTGTCGCTGCTGCTGCGGCGACGGTTCGAACTCCCAGCCAACGGCGAGCAGCCAGCGGCCGAGCTTCGCAGGCCGCGGCCACGCCGGCCTTGCACTGGGGTGCCCACGCTCGTGCGCTTGCGGGCAGACCTGGTCTCGTTCCGCAGGCTTGGCGTCTAGCAGACTCTTCGCTGCGCGCGTGCCGTTTGCGCGCGCCTGTGTGTGTGTGTGTGTGTGTGCGTGCGTGCGTGCGTGCGTGCGTGCGTTTAATTCGTGCATCGCCCGTTGTTCTTCTCTGCTTTCGCCACTTCGCGCTTCCGGGAGTCACAGTCTTGCCACGTGCTCCGCGAGGAAGCGAACTCTCTGCGATGGCCATGCCCACGGTTTTGACGGCTGCCTGGACCTCACCTCTGCGTCGGAGTACGCCTTGTGTGTACGTGCGCGTTTGCAATAGGTGATAGCTGCTTCAACATTTTCTCGCATGTCTTCCTCTTGCTCTGTGCTCCTGATCCCTGCTCTCGACCCTCTACCTCTCCTCCGCACCCCCGCTTGCTCTGTGCTCCTTGTCGCATCCTTCGCCGCCTTTTTACGTCCGACTGCTCTCCTCTTCCTCCTACTCATCTCTCCCTTTCCTCCTTCTCCCGCTCCTTCTCCTCCCCCCTTCCACCTCCTTTCCACCCCACGGCGTCCTCCCCTGCCCACCTGTTCCCCTCCCGTCGGCCGCCCAGGATATGGCGAGAGAGGCATACCGAAGATGATTCCTCCCAACTCGGAGCTGCTGTTCGAGGCGCGCGCGGAGGAAAGGAGGATAAGGATGACGAGGATGATGAGTCTTCTTCTTCTTCTTCTTCGATTATTTATTTATTTCTTTATTTACGTATTCATTTTCATTGTCATACCTGTTATCATTAGTCGTCGTAGTATTATTGTTCTTATGAGTCGTATTACTTGTTGTCGTCTTCTTCTTCTTCTTATTCATATTCTTATTATTCTTAGGACGATGAGGAAGAGTAGGAGGAGCAGGGGGAGAACGGGTAGGGGGGTGAGGCAGGACGATATCAAGACAGGGGGAAGCGATGGAGGGAGGGAGGCAGGGAGGATGGTATGAAGAGGAGGAGGAGGATGAGGAGGAGGAGGAGGAGGAGGAGGAGGAGGAGGAGGAGGAGGAGGAGCGGAAAGGAAGCACGGTGCTTTCCCAAATGCTACTTACAAAAACTACGAGCATGTAATTTTCTCAGGCTCCTGTAGAGGCCACAGGCCACTTTGTGATCATGGTTCACGGTGAAGACTGCCAGCGGCCGTTGCGCTCAGCAAGCAGACATAATATACCAGACGTACTGATGTGGAGTTCTCGGCAAGAGCTAGACAACTTCGAGCACGACTGTCATGCATCACATTACGCATGAATGCCTGTGTGCAGCACTATCAGATACCGCCAACCACAAAACCATGCGAAGTCCTAGCACTAGAACATCTCATAATCGTTATTGCAGTGCCAGCATCAATCACGATTCACCCAAATAATATTCTCCCAGTAAGAAAAACGCTGTACAACCGTAATGCGCAATAGCACTACGGTTCAACTGATATTCCGGTTGAAGTCTATTGGCCTGCGGACGAACCCGCCACCGTTCGATGATCCTCAGGGCGTGGGTTTGCCCAACGTGTTTAGACCTTGCAGCTCCGCCGATCGCACGCAGCCCGTGTCGCTCTGGGTTGCACCTCCTGCGTCATGGTGAAAGGCTTCGGTGGGCAGGGTCGGGCAAGCACACGTTGGTGCTGGCACACGTTCCGAGGATGATCGAACGGTGCCTTGGGGGACTCTGGGAGGTCTCCAGAGAACCTCGTCGGGGGGGGGTGTCTCGGGGCCGTCTTGGGCGGGAAAAAGCCTGGGCACCCGACCGGGCGCACTCTGAGCTAAAGGACAATTCTGCAATCGAGTGACTTTAGGTCCAGGGAGCTCGCGCGAACCCCAGATCTCCGTGGGTACAATTTTCCCAGCCATCCTGTTGAATTGGGTCCTCGTTTTGAAGAGACGGCGCCGTCGCCATCGCCGACGTCGCTGTCACCGTCGTCGGCGCCTTCGCCGTCGCCGTCGTCGTCGTCGTCGTCGCCGACTTCGCCACCGTTGTCGTCACCGTCGACTTCGCCGTCGCCGCTGGCATCGTCGACGCCGTCGTCGTCGTCGCCGCCGTCGCCGTCGTCTGGAAGAGACAGCGCCCAGCATCGCCTCCCTCCCGCTGCCCCTCCTCCCTCCTCTCTGCCTCTGCTCTCCGCAGGTCTCTGTTTCGGCACACCCCAGAGGGACCTACACCGGCGGCCCCAGTGGCGGTGTTCGCATGCGCCCCCCCCACGAATTTCGGGATAACCCTCACACGTTTCGTACCTCGATAGGGAGCACCACCGAAGGCCCCAGTGGCGGTGTTCGCATGCGTCCCCCAGCCAATTTCGGCACAACCCTCACACGTTTCGTGGTCCCATAGGGAGCTCATCCGAAGGCCCCAGTGGCGGTGTTCGTATGCGTTCCCCCCGCCCATTTCGGCTAACCCTCGCACGTTTCGGCCCTCCGCGAATTTCGGCACACCCCTCACGCGTTTCGTGCCCCCACAGGGAGCTGAACCGAAGGCCCCAGTGGCAGTGTTCGCATGCGCCCCCCCTACAGATTTCGGCACACACTTCGCACGCTTTGTGGCCCCATAAGGAAGCTCAACCGACGGATCCAGTGGCGGTTTTCGCATGCGTTTCCGCCCCGCCCATTTCGGCACCCCTCACGCGTTTCGTGGTCCCACAGGGAGCTGAACCGAAGGCCCCAGTGGCGGTGTTCGCATGCGTCCCCCACGAGTTTCGGCACCCCCCTCGCTACACCGAGGCAGTGTTCGCATGCGTCCCCCCTACACATTTCGGCACACCCCTCGCAGTATTCGTGGGCCCGTAGGGAGCCCCTCCGAAGACGATATTCACAACTGCGATATTCACAACTGCATATGGTTGTGGTCCTTCGACAGGCAGATTTTTTAATCCTGGCGTTTTTTCCCGAGTTCGGCCTGTTGGCCTGCTTCTCGGCCCCTGGGGTAATCGAAAGTTAGTCGGGGACGCAACGCTGACCCCTGGGAACGGGTCGGGACCTCTGGGGCCGCGGGTTGGAAGCCATTGGAAATCTCATAGCGGAGGATGTCTGGGACGCAACAGGAATTCACTGAGATTGGGTGGTCCAGGCACCTGCGACTTCTGGCTTCCAGTACTCAATATCCACAGGTGCATGATTATTTGGGCACTCCACTGCGCGCTCTAGGCCCGGTGGTGCACGTACCATCTCTAGTCGTCTTGGATGTTCAGAGCAGCACACATGAGCGATCTCAGTATATGCAGACCTGGTCGTGCGCGTCTCTTAATGCATATAAATCGCGTCCTTCACTGCTATAACTTTGTTTTAGCATGATAGAGTTTGGCGAGGGCGGAGCGCTGGAGGGAGTGGAGGAGGATAGGGAGGAGGAGCAGGAGGAACAAGAGGAGGAGGCGGAAGAAAATGATAATAAACGGAGGAAAAGGCGGAGGAGGAGGATGAGGAAGATGAGAAGGTGGATGAGGAAGGTGAGTAAACAGGGGGAGGAGGATGAGTAGAAAGCGGAGGTTGATGATCCCGAGGAGAAGGAGGAGGAGGAGCATGAGGACGCGGAGTGACCAGATGTTCATGATGATGGCGCTGGCGATGATGGCGATGATGATGATGATGATGATGATGATGATGATGATGATGATGATGATGATGATGATGATGATGACGATGATGGCCATGATGAGGAATCTGATGATGATGCTGATGATGATACTGATGACGATGAAAATGCTGATAATGATGATGTTGATGCTGATGTTGATGCTGCTGTTGCTGATGATGATAATGATGATGTTTGCTAATAGTGATGACGATGACGAATATGAGGATGCTGATGATGATGCTGATATGATGGTGACATGAGGTTGATGATGCTGTTTATCATGTTGATAACGGTGATGCTGCCGCTCATGATAGTGATAAGAAACATTCTGCTGATGATGATGCTGCTGATGATGATGGTGATGCTGATGCTGACGACGAGGATGATGACGATGATGATGATGATGATGATGCTGTTGATGATGCTGATGATGATGGCAATGATGATGATTCTGAGGACGATGATGATGATGATGATGATGACGATGATGATGCTGATAATGATGATGTTGATGCTGATGTTGATGCTGCTGTTGCTGATGATGATAATGATGATGTTTGCTAATAGTGATGACGATGACGAATATGAGGATGCTGATGATGATGCTGGTATGATGGTGACATGAGGTTGATGATGCTGTTGATCATGTTGATTCTCTTGCACAGGGTGTCTAGAGCTCCGACCACTTTATTTCGGCACCGCACCCCCCCCTTCATCATCATCATCATCATCATCATCATCATCATCATCATCATCATCATCATCATCATCATCATCATCATCATCATCATCATCATCATCATCATCATCATCATCATCATCATCATCATCATCATCATCATCATCATCATCATCATCATCATCATCATTATCACCATCATCCTCACCATCATCACCATCACAATCACCATCATCATCATCACCATCCTCACCATCATCACCCCCCCCCGCTCCGCCCCCTCCCCCGCGCCGTCTCAGCGCCCTCCCGCGGCTCCAGCGCCCGCCCAGTGCCCCCTCCGCCTCGACCACTTTATTTCGGCACCGCACCCCCCCCCGCTCCGCCCCCTCCCCCGCGCCGTCTCAGCGCCCCCCCGCGGCTCCAGCGCCCGCCCAGTGCCCCCTCCGCCCCGACCACTTTATTTCGGCACCGCACCCCCCCTCCCCGCTCCGCCCCCTCCCCCGCGCCGTCTCAGCGCCCCCGCGCGGCTCCAGCGCCCGCCCAGTGCCCCCTCCGCCCCGACCACTTTATTTCGGCACCGCACCCCCCCCCCGCTCCGCCCCCTCCCCCGCGCCGTCTCAGCGCCCCCCCGCGGCTCCAGCGCCCGCCCAGTGCCCCCTCCGCCTCGACCACTTTATTTCGGCACCGCACCCCCCCCCGCTCCGCCCCCTCCCCCGCGCCGTCTCAGCGCCCCCCCGCGGCCCCAGCGCCCGCCCAGTGCCTCCTCCGCCCCGACCATTTTATTTCGCACCGCACCCCCCCCCTCCGCCCCTCCCCCGCGCCGTCTCAGCGCGCCCCCGCGGCTCTAGCGCCCGCCCAGTGCCCCTGCGTCCCAGCCACTTATTTCGGCACAGAACAACCCCCCCCCCCCGCTCCGCCCCCTCCCCTCCCCCGCGCCGTCTCAGCGCCCCCCCCGCGGCTCCACGCCGCCCAGTGCCCCCTCCCCCCGACACTTCATTTCGGCACCGCACCCTCCCTCCCCGCTCCGCCCCCTCCCCAGCGCCGTCTCAGCGCCGCCCCGCGGCTCCAGCGCCCGCCCAGTGCCCCCTCCGCCCCGACCGCTTTATTTCGGCACCGCACCCCCCCCCCCCGCTCCGCCCCCTCCCCCGCGCCGTCTCATCGCCCCCCCGCGGCTCCAGCGCCCGCCCAGCGCCCCCTCCGCCCCGACCACTTTATTTCGGCACCGCACCCCCTCCCCCGCTCCGCCTCTTCCCCCGCGCCGTCTCAGCGCCTCCTCCCCCGCGCCGACTCAGCGCGCCCGCGCGGCTCCAGCGCCCGCCCAGTGCCCCCTCCGCCCCGACCACTTTATTTCGGCACCGCACCCCCCCCCCGCTCCGCCCCCTGCCCCGC